TTGCCTTCTTACTATTCAATTTCGACTTTGTTTGAAGCACCTGGCAGGGACTGATGTTACTTTTTAAACCTTAAAATTGTCGACCTCTACCAAATAATTTTGTTCAAGACTTGCTACGTTCTTTAGCATGCCCTCCTCCACTTTTTGATGGTTTTGCCTTTAATGAAGGTGACATATGTAGAAGAAGAATGGATGATCAACCCGTAGCCGCCTGATGTTTCTTGTCACTCAAAGCTATCCGTGTCTCTCTGGAATGGCAGTTCTACCTGTCCTCGTTCTCAAAAACTGCATTTTTTCAGTTTTGTGTCGGCTATTTCGTTCTTCCGTTCTTCTAAGTAGTCCGGCTCAATGTATGACGCCGGTATGCTGTCTATATGTGAAAAGTGGCTATTTTGTACACTCACCTACCTGGGAAGTTCTTTGTAAATTCTCCTAAAAGCCTTCCAGCGGGAGACTTGCGCCAAGCCCCGATCTTCACTAAAGCAGCACGTTCCATAGTCCGGTCCCATTCTTTCCACTCTTCCATTATGTCGTTCACGCGCATTGTGAGCATCAACATTTGGTTTTCTCTCCTCCCCCATTTTTCTCAGGTGATATACGGTGACACGGACTCGGTAATGTGTAAGTTCGGCGTTCCTACCGTGGCGGAGGCGATGGACCTGGGTCGTGAGGCGGCCGAGTACATCTCCAGCCAGTTTCCGAAACCGATTAGACTGGAATTCGAGAAGGTAGCCTTTCTGTTGATTCAGCAGCCCAGATTTACTTCCCTTGTTTTTTTCCCACTAGTTTCACGTCTCTTATTGTTCTGTGTGTATCCTGGTTCCTCTCCACATTTGTCACTAGCATGACCTTCGTGGCGTGAATTCAGTTCAGTCTGAGACGCGGTATGTTTGACCTAAAAGTATATGCTAATTAATTGCTCACTATCGACCACCTGTTCGCCTAACGCAGTCCATGGGTGAAAAGAGTGCCTTTTCAGATTTTCGACCTTATTAGGCTGTTGCGCTTCGCTCTCACACGTAATCTGCTTTTACGCTTTTCTTTTTGCATGCCACTTGGCATTTTCTGCGGTCCCTTAAATTTTGAAAATTTGGCATTGTCAAACTCCTCAGCAGGAATCTGATACGATAAGTCCTACGATGGGGAGGTGGGGGCAAGGAGTTGTTCTGGTAATAGAGCCGGTTTTTGGTTGATTTCGGTTCAGTTCCGTTTTATTAAGTGAAGGCTAGTCAAACGCCTTTGAGCTCCCTATTGGTGCCACAGTTACCATGAAATGCAAAGAAGGGTAGTTGACATAATTTCAGGTGAAATGCGGGCAGTCGCTGGTTAGTCGAAAAGACTAAACATAAACGCCTACTCGTGCATTACAAGTAGTATAAGTAAAGTGCAGAAATAGGGAGTAGAGGCGGGGCTTGCCACATTGTTCTCACAATAAACAACCTCATGCACTTGAAGCTATCGCGATGCACTTAAAGCCGTGGCCCTGAACTTTGCCAACGCGGGTGACACAGTCAGTCGCCCAGTGTGTGTTTGTCTGGAGCAATGTACTGGCGGACTGAGAGTTAGGCTGCAATGGCTTCGTCCTAAAGTGGCTTCCGGTACTCATGTGCGATCTGTGCTGCCCA